TGAAATTCTTTGGCCTACTATACACTCTACTGGAATGGAGCAATAAATCTTGAGAGAAAAGTGACACATGTGTTTTTAAGTTGCCAAATATAATATAGAGTCAAATAGATGTACAGATTGATTCTCTGTGCCGCTTTCGTGGTTGTACACTCCATAATTTCAAAGGCGCACGGCTAGTGAACGGAAACTCACTCATTTACAATGGCGTCTTAGAAGACGGACTTTCCCAAGATTAGATCTAAACGAAACTAATGAAAAACTGAAAATTAAACTGCTGTGACTACAAGCTCCTGAATGAAACTGTGCACCCTTTAAATGATTCTGAACCACCACAAATGTTGTCAAATACGAAAGTTAAGCGGCAAAAGTGTGAACTTTCTCAAATATGATATATAGAGATGATCATACACATAGAGTTGTTTTATAATCCGTACCCAGCTACTTCATACCGACTTGCTACGAATTTCAGATCCACAAAATCATTTTGGACACAATTAGCACATTTTAAATATTCACTCACACCTCTTTACTGCTTTTGTCTCCACTTGGCGCAGGTTTTACAGCTCTTTTGATTTTGTAAAGTAATTTATGAGGCAAGCTGTGAAATAGGATTGATGACTAATTTTCCTCTTTTTATCCCCTTGTGTTTTAAAAAGTTGTTGACTCTGAAAGGAGTGGAATTTTCAAAACGAAATCGACTAGAAGGACTCTATTAACGAAGATGAACTATTTTAGATTAATCAAACGTTATTATTAGATCTAATTTGAGAAGAAAAAAAATTCAGAAGGAGAGATAAAAGGCGTGAGAGGAAGCGGGAGGATTAAGAGAAGACGGGAACAGGACATAGAAACCTGGTTTGGAACCGAAACAACTCAGGCTGGTAGTACGGCAAGAGATGGGGAGTTTTATTTCAGAAATTTCCCAGAATGAAGGAAAACTTGTTTACGAAAGGAAGGGGGGAGGGGGTGGGGGTGGGGAGGGGGGAATGTTGGAGAAAACGTCAGAACTCACCTGTCGCCTGCTCAATGCGTAACAAAGTCTCGATGGGGAGTCGAAATAATTAAAATGTGTGTCCTTTTCGTTGTTGGTGTTGTTGCTCCGCATTGTTTTGTGCTTTAATTTATTTTAACAAAGGTGGGTGGAGCCAGTGTCAAGAGCTACTGATGTACGAAATGAATAGTTATAAAATTTTATTTATGTTGAAATACATTGTACAAAAATAATTAATATGCTAATTCGTGGGATTGATTGAAAGGCGCCCTCGGTAAGTGCTACTTTTCATTCCATCTATAGTTCCTGTCTGTCTATCTGCGTGTGTGTGTGTGTGTGTGTGTGTGTGTGTGTGTGTCTTTCTTTCTCTTTCCCTGTACTCAGTGACAGCTATTGGTTTAAGGGGGGGGGGGAGGATGCAAGTATTGAAAAGGTCGACTTTAATCAAGGGGTGAATAATCGTGATGTTTTGTCCATTTTACCAGAGCGACGTTCTATGTGAGTCTTGCCCACACCCAGTTTGATCTGGTCAAGATACTGTTTAATCACGGTTCCGAGATCGGCTGCCACACAATCGACCATGTAAAACTGCCTCGGGCCAACAGCTCATATGCTGAGAAGGAAATTACGAAACAGGTGAGGGCTACGTGGCTTTGACGCGTAATGTCCAGCTGTAATTATGGTTTGGAGAGAAAAGGGTGAGGGTGGGGGTGGGGGTGAAGATGGGAGGGGTAGGGAGGGGATTGACCTTTCATGGTGGGGGTGAGGATGGGGTAGAGGGGTAGACGAAGGTTCCCCTTTTTTTAATGTAGGTTTTAGGCCCCGGGGGGTGGAGTACTTTAACCTCTCAGATGTATTTTAGGAGGGGGGGTGCTTTTAAATGTAAACGTATCGCCACATTGTCGACACTGGCATACAATAACTACAATAATAATTCTAAAGTTAATTTACTGATAGTGTTGTGCTTCGGTATAATTTAAGTATCATATCAAAACTGTAAAGCTTGTTACCGTTAACGTTTCTGCAAGGTGGAAGCTGAGAGAGAGAAGGCGCTTCGTCCTTGAAACGATAAACAGTGTACTTTGATGGAGGTGCCAAAGTCTTCAATAACAACAACAACAACAAAAAGAAACCCCACTAAGAGCAGCAGCTTCAACAGGAACTTTGTAACATAACAATAGCAATAAAACAGTAAGTGCAGCAGGAATAACGGCAACAAAAACAACAGCAGCAATATCAACAACAGCCAAAACTGCAACAAATTCACAACCAACAACTGCAAGAACAAAACTATCAGCACTAACACTTATTGTGTAGGCTCAAACTTTACTCACAACTAAACATGAAGCCAAACTGAGGGCTAAGTGGTCAAGTTGTCCATAAAACAGAATTAGTATTTACTGAGTAATCAATACTAACAAACATATTATCTTACCCTTGTTATTTGTATTCTCTTATCGTTCCATTTTAATGTTGAAATACATTGTACATTGTATTTCATTTACCATCTCATTCTCATAGGCAATGGTTTTTCTGATACGAATGAGATCATTAACATGGCACGCGAAAAACGGACGCGAGAAAAACAATTTTATTCGATGGTCTCTGGGCAGTTTCCTTAGTCAAAATTGTAAAAAAAAAATTTTGTTGATGAACTATCATTTGTGTGGCATCGTTGTGAAATCAGATGTTCTTCAAAAAAATGAAATCGAGGAAACCGACCATTTTCCTGCCCGCCAGGAAATTTTTTTAATTTTTTTTTTGGTTTGTTTGTTTGTTTGTTTGTATTTTGTGTTTGTTTTATTTTAAAACATTTTTCAGGGGGCGGAGGGGGCGGGGGCAAAATTTGTATGCCCTTGAAAAACATATTATTACTGTGTTAACTGGAAGAAAAACCGTTTATCGCCATTTTCTAATTTTACTTTTAATTCATGGCAACGACCACCTTCTTCAATCGCAAATTATTCGAGCTTTATTCAAGACGGGAGTTTTGTTTTTACCCAAAACCAAGACAAATGAGCAGGCCTTTAGATTATAATCAGCTCCATATGCCCAAAAACTGACGAGGGCCTGATTCCCCGACGTTGTGACACACTTCTCTTGAACTTTCGAAAATTCCACGAGTATGTACGAGTAGCTACCTCATCGCCACCGCCCACCGCCCACCGCTCTGTCTTTTTCTATCATCACAGATCGCGTACTTTAAGAATAAGATGAAGCAGAAAACAAATCACAAGAAGTTGGTGGATGAAATCCATGGCTTCAGGGCGCCATACCTTCATGTGGCTGGAGACCTGCAGTTCGACGTCCTAAGAAAAAGTGGCTACGTCTATGACTCGTCTATACTCAACAACCGGATATGGAGAAACAAACAGCCCATCTGGCCGTACACTCTGGACTATCCTGTGTCCAGGTAAGAGTTAGTTGTTGGTTTTTCGTCTCTTTTCAGGTAACGTTCCAGCCATCAGATAAACACTATTCAATTTTGTTTTACGGTCGTCAAAGACAAGACTGAGCCAATATGAGAGAAGTATTGAAACTTCAGGTTATGATAAAGAAAACGAAACAGAAGAGGAATACCTTTAAGGTGTTTACATCGCCTACATTATCGCCATAAACATAGGCAAATACATCTTTCCTTTGTTTACTCACGGCAGCAAACATTGTCCTGTGCTTTTTTTCTGACTCATTTGAGAGAACGAACATTTTCGTTAACATTTTGTATAACTAACATTGTAAGGCACATTTTGAAAACCCAGTAATGACATTTGGCACCTTGAAAAAGAGACACGTGACCAAAAAAAAACACCCAAAAGACTAAACAAAGAAAACGAATGATTGGTCCATCTGAGTTGGAATTGATAATTATTACTTCTAAGCTGGTGAACTCTGCCCGGTAGTTCACCTCTTGGTTTATCACCATGTCCCACCACAGTTTAAATAACAAATGTATAATAAATTACAAGTTTTACATTTCAGAAGAGCAATTTGGAACACAACGTCAAACATGCATACACACATAAATACATAATTATAAATACATACATAAATACATAATTATAAATACATATATAATAAATACACAATTACACCAATACAAAACAATTTCACAACCATGCCATTACTGGTCGCCACTGTGCAGCGCCCTGTTTGTTGAGTTTGGCTTATCGTGTCTTGCTGAAGGACACACCCCAGTGATCACTCTTCTGATCCCCGTGTCACCGACACTTGCTTGACTTTACTCTTGAATCTAAACTCACTACTCACTTGGCCACTGGAACGCCCAGATCAACCGCAGGGGCGGCGTGTGAGCCTTCATAACACGCTGCCTGGTGTGTCTATCGTATACTGGGCACTTCTGTTAAAGTGCTAATAATTTTGTCAATGATACAGGTAGCGCATTTTTAAACTGTATATACATTCTAATGATACAACGGTTGTAATCAGCAAAATTTTAGCTACTGTTGGAACAGGAGACACATTTTTTCTGGGGTTGTATGATCCATTTTTAACAAGGTTTCTTGGCAAATGTGGGTCTGTTTGTTAGAGAAAGTAATATTATATTATGCGTTTTGCGTATAGATGTTTGTGAGTTGAGGGAGTGTTTAAAGAGAGTATGTGTAAATGGGAGTACGTGAGCGTGTATGTGTGTGTGTGTGTGTGTGTGTGTGTGTGTGTGTGTGTGTGTGTGTGTGTATTTGTGATGAAATACAAAACCAATGTGTCATCTTTTGGCCAATAAAGTCATATCATCGCATCTCATCTCATCTCACCTCACCCCATCTCACCCCATCTCACCTCACCCACACCTCACCTCACCCCATTTCACCTCACTCCATCTCATCTCACCTCACCTCACCCCCACCTCACCCCACCTCACATCACCCAATCTCACCTCACCCTACCCCAATCTCACCTGATCTCATCCTTGCTTCTCCCAGCAAAGAGTGCTGGAACCCACCATGCAACACCAAGCCCTACCCTCAATTCTGGGAGATCCCGCTCAACGCGCTGCGGGACGCCAGGGGATCTGCCTGTAGCATGCTGGATGACTGTCTCGTCCGTAAGGACAATAAGAGGAACACAGCCGAGGACTGGTTCATGTTGTTGAAGTGAGCTGTCACCTTCTCTTATACTTAGAAAACTCTCCAGCCCAGGCTTAAAAACTATAATGATAATAATAATAATAATAATAATAATAATAATAATAATAATAATAATAATAATAATAATAATAATAATAATAATAATAATTTAAATTTTTAAAAAAATTAAGTAATTAAAATTATGATTATGATATTGATGATGCTGCTGCTGCCGATGATGATGATTATTTTTATAAATATTATTATTACTATTATTATTAATATTTCTATTATTATAATTTATTATTATTATTATTATTATTATTATTATTATTATTATTATTATTATTATTATTATTATTATTATTATTATTATTGCTATTATCACTATGATTTTTTGGGATTTAAAAAAATAAATTATTTGTTCCTCTCTATCGTATTATTTGTCCTTTTTGTTCACTTATTTGCTCTTTTTTCATTCATTTGTTCTTTTTTTTGTTTGTTCATTTATTTGATAATTTGGTCCTTATTTTCCTTTTATTTTGTCCTCTTAGCACATTCATTTGATCCTCTTTGTCCTTTTATTTGTTCATCTTGGTCCATTTATTTGGTCCTATTTGTCCATTCATTTGGTCCTTTTTTTCAATTAATAATGTGTTCCTCTTTGTCCATTTACTTAATCCTCTTTGTCCAAAATTTATTGGTCCAATTTGTTCATTCATTTTGATTCATTTTGCCAATGTGTCCATTCATTTGATCCCTTTTGTCCACCCCTGCAGGAACAACTTCTACGACTACTTCTACGAGTATAGAATCCCGATGCCTCTGTACACGCACGCCGCGCTGTTTGATCGTGACAGCAGCGCCTACGACGGTTTGGTCCTCTTCTTGAAATACGTGCTGGAGAAAAAGAATGTCTGGATGATCCAGCAAAAACAGCTGATTCAGTATTTGCGGCGTCCGATCTCCAACAATCAGATGAAGAAGGAGTATTTCGCGTGCCATGAAAGAGACAGCTCAAAATGAAAAGAAGACATTCACAAACATTAAAGCTTAGTACTGGTCAAGAGACAATGGGGGTTGACAGGTTGAAGGGAAAATATCTTGTGACTATAGATACTGATACCGTTCTGATTCTACATTAAATTTTATTATTTATGTATGTACGATTAGGTTATGTCCCTTTTTTGTTCGATCCAGGTGCATAACACAAGTGGGCCTCAAAACATGTCGGTCTGTCTCGTGACTGCGCACACCTCACAAATGTTTTGGAAAGAAGTTATCTTTTGGGTGGTTTTTAAACAGACTAGATACTTGAACCTAGTAGAAAATATTCTTCATGTTGTACCGCTCTTTAAAGATGACACAAAATGCTCCCCAACAGCTATGTTAAGGGGGGGGGGGGGGGGGGGGCTACCCCCCCACAAATCAAAATTCGGCTCAATATCATGGAATTTGAGTTGTAGGCAATTTAAGCTTCCTTAGCCTCTCCTTCAACTATTTCATGACAGAAAACCCCCCAAAACCGTACTTTTCCCCATACCGGACATGTTTGTAACCGCCATTTCCTCATAAAGTCAGTATTTTATTTTTCTTTATCGGTCGTTTTCTCAAAATGCGACTTTTCTCTATACTTTTTTGAATAACTCCACTATTTTTCATCCAATCTTCATGAAATTTTCTCAGAATGAAGAAAAGAGGTAATACTAAAATTTTCTTTCTTGAATTTTTGATATATGGAATAGATTTTGTTGGTGGTGTCTGGAGTGTGGATTTTCACGGATTTTTCGCAAACTTGAATGCTACCTCAGGAAAAAATTCATTAAAAATTGCCTAATTCGTTTAAGAAAAAAACAACAGATGAATTTTTAGATCTAATGTTTGTGAACACGCTTGCAAAAAAAAAAATCAATTTCCTTTCGCGATAAGTGCGGTATTCATTACGTAAGACATGTCAATAAAATCCAATATGGCGGCGTATCCATGGAAACGAAACTTGTTTCTCAAATTTGATTGCGGATTTTAAGACTCCTTACTATGCTTGTTTAATGTGTGAAATTTGGTAAAATTCGGTCCTTTAATATGCGAGATAGCCTCCAGGTGTAGTCCCCCCCCCCCTTAATAAATTAAAATCCCCCATTCTATTTCCATTGCCTTCATGAGCCAAGTATTGCTTTATTTGAGTACAGAGCTCCTCTATGAACGCTATTTCCCCCCTTATTTCACAAGGTGCATAAACATTGATAAAGAACAATTTTTCGCTTTCCATCTCAACATAACATATTAAGATCCTATCAGTCCTACAGGTTTTTAAAATATCTTTTACATTAAAGCGTGAATTAAAAAGTGTAACGAGGCTTTTACTCCTATTACTTCAATGACTAACGTGTATAACAACCCCCCCCCCCTCCCCCCCCCCCCCCCAATTGCTTTAATAATTCATTTTGATCTAACTCTGATCAATGACTTTCCTGTATAGCTATTACGTCTAATATTTTAGACAGAAATTTTTTTAAGACTGCAGATCGTTTCTTATGATTTTTAAATCCCCGTACATTTAATGTTCCTACCTTGAGTGGTTCATTAAATTCAATCTGGTGTTACCCGCTATTACGCTGTTCGTTCTTGTAGTCGGATGTACCTGCATTGTCGTCGTCATCCTGGTCCGTCCTTCCTTAATGTTTGGAGCGCCGCGATGTTGGCGCCTCATCCTCGGGACTCTGCGGCTCCACCCTCTATCCATCTAATCTGTTTCTATGAGATTTCCAATCATCTTAATTTGTTCACTTCCCTTGACCGAACCCTTTTTAGATAACATCCACCTGCACTGAAAGGATCATTTAAATTACTAAGAGCCGTTTGAAAGAGAGTCTTCAGTTTGATACTAAAGTCCTTGCACTAACGTTTATAGCGTTTTGGGGAAATAGTTAAAGTGGTATGTGCCATTCCGTAACCAAACGACGAAATTCATATAATTTATTATTATTATTATTATTATTATTATTATTATTATTATTATTATTATTATTATTATTAATATTATTATTATTATTATCATTATTATTATTATTGTTATTGTCACTATCAGTATTATTACTATTGTTATTTTTATATTATTTGCATTAAAATAATTTTAATATTATTTTTACTATTATTTTTATTATTATATATTAATATTATTATTGTTATTATTGTTCTTCTTCTTCTTCTTCTTCTTCTTCTTCTTCTTCTTCTTCTTCTTCTTCTTTTTCTTCTTCTTCTTCTTCTTCTTCTTCTTCTTCTTCTTCTTCTTTTTCTTCTTCTTCTTCTTCTTCTTCTTCTTCTTCTTCTTCTTCTTCTTCTTCTTCTTCTTCTTCTTCTTCTTCTTCTTCTTCTTCTTCTTCTTCTTCTTCTTCTTCTTCTTCTTCTTCTTCTTCTTCTTCTTCTTCTTCTTCTTCTTCTTCTTCTTCTTCTTCTTCTTCTTCTTCTTCTTCTTCTTCTTCTTCTTCTTCTTCTTATTATTATTATTATTATTATTATCATCATCAATATTATTGGTGGGGCACCTGAGGTCTATTTTGGCTATTACAAGGCCTAGAGTGCCGATATTTGCTGTGGGACATCGTGTGTTATTGGGGATTTTAAATCAATAGTTCAAAAAGTATAAAGTGAATCGGTTGCTATGGAAACGGTGGCCATATTGGATTTTGTATACCTTTTTCAATCCCATTTTATTTCCTTATTTATAAACCGATTCACTTCTAATTTGGGATGCCAACAGTACATATGTAGCTCTTAAATTGGGCCGGTTGAATTTTTGATATATGCTATAGTTTTTATTTTATGACATTTACAATTGAGATTTTGCAAAACACGTGAAAAAAAATGGAAAATTCAAGCTTTTTAAGCCCATAAATAAAAAAACTACTACATTAATAAAAAAAATTCAACAAGCCAAAATTTAAATATAGGTGTTGTTGGTATCCTGTTAAAGTTACATTAAAATTGAATAAGAAACAGAGCAGAAAAATGGGATAACATGTGAAAAAAAAGAATTGTGAGAAAACAGCCGATACAGGTAAGAAAAGGCTAGACAACATGTGCTTTCGCCGAAAAACCTGACAACAAAACACAACTTTAGGGTGTAGCAAGGCTTACATACGTTTCTGGATATTGTTCAGGAAGTGTCCAGGTACTATAATATGTAATAAACCCAATTTACAAATTTTGACCCCACAACACGATTTCTAGATGCCCCACCAGCCCTTAATATGTTAATATTATGTACATTTTAATTATTGTTAACCTTACTTTTATTTCTGTTATGATTAGTAGTAGTAGTAGTAGTAGTAGTAGTAGTAGTAGTAGTAGTAGTAGTAGTAGTAGTAGTAGTAGTAGTAGTAGTAGTAGTAGTAGTAGTAGTAGTAGTAGTAGTAGTAGTAGTAGTAGTATTAGTAGTAGTAGTAGTAGTAGTAGTATTAGCAATAGTAGTAGTAGTGTTATTATCATTATTACTGTTATCATTGTAATAATACATGTAATAATAATAATTATTATTATTATTAATTTTAAAAAAAAATTATTATTATAAATGATCGGTGCATTAACATCAACTGAAATTCTTTGGCCTACTATACACTCTACTGGAATGGAGCAATAAATCTTGAGAGAAAAGTGACACATGTGTTTTTAAGTTGCCAAATATAATATAGAGTCAAATAGATGTACAGATTGATTCTCTGTGCCGCTTTCGTGGTTGTACACTCCATAATTTCAAAGGCGCACGGCTAGTGAACGGAAACTCACTCATTTACAATGGCGTCTTAGAAGACGGACTTTCCCAAGATTAGATCTAAACGAAACTAATGAAAAACTGAAAATTAAACTGCTGTGACTACAAGCTCCTGAATGAAACTGTGCACCCTTTAAATGATTCTGAACCACCACAAATGTTGTCAAATACGAAAGTTAAGCGGCAAAAGTGTGAACTTTCTCAAATATGATATATAGAGATGATCATACACATAGAGTTGTTTTATAATCCGTACCCAGCTACTTCATACCGACTTGCTACGAATTTCAGATCCACAAAATCATTTTGGACACAATTAGCACATTTTAAATATTCACTCACACCTCTTTACTGCTTTTGTCTCCACTTGGCGCAGGTTTTACAGCTCTTTTGATTTTGTAAAGTAATTTATGAGGCAAGCTGTGAAATAGGATTGATGACTAATTTTCCTCTTTTTTTCCCCTTTTCTTTTAAAAAGTTGTTGACTCTGAAAGGAGTGCAATTTTCGAAACGAAATGGACTAGAAGGACTCTATTAACGAAGATGAACTATTTTAGATTAATCAAACGTTATTATTAGATCTAATTTGAGAAGAAAAAAAATTCAGAAGGAGAGATAAAAGGCGTGAGAGGAAGCGGGAGGATTAAGAGAAGACGGGAACAGGACATAGAAACCTGGTTTGGAACCGAAACAACTCAGGCTGGTAGTACGGCAAGAGATGGGGAGTTTTATTTCAGAAATTTCCCAGAATGAAGGAAAACTTGTTTACGAAAGGAAGGGGGAAGGGGGTGGGGGTGGGGAGGGGGGAATGTTGGAGAAAACGTCAGAACTCACCTGTCGCCTGCTCAATGCGTAACAAAGTCTCGATGGGGAGTCGAAATAATTAAAATGTGTGTCCTTTTCGTTGTTGGTGTTGTTGCTCCGCATTGTTTTGTGCTTTAATTTATTTTAACAAAGGTGGGTGGAGCCAGTGTCAAGAGCTACTGATGTACGAAATGAATAGTTATAAAATTTTATTTATGTTAAACCATATTGTACAAAAATAATTAATATGCTAATTCGTGGGATTGATTGAAAGGCGCCCTCGGTAAGTGCTACTTTTCATTCCATCTATAGTTCCTGTCTGTCTATCTGCCTGTCTGTCTGTCTGTCTGTCTGTCTGTCTGTCTGTCTTTCTTTCTCTTTCCCTGTACTCAGTGACAGCTATTGGTTTAAGGGGGGGGGGGGGCGGCTACACTTGAAGGCTATCTCGCTTATTAGTGGACTGAATTTTACAAAATTTCACACATGTAGCCAGCATAGTAAGGAGTCTTTAAATCTGCAATCAAATTTGAGAAAAAGTTTCGTTTCCATGTATACGGTGGCCATATTGGATTTTGCTGACATGTCTTAAGTAATGAATACCGCACTTACTGCTCATATAAATTGATAGGGTTTTGTTTTTTTTGGCAATAGATTAAAAAATTTGTCTGGGTTATTTTTTTAAAAATTAATTACAAAATTCTAAATTAATTTTTCCTTCTGGTAGTATTCAAGTTTGACAAAATTCCGTGAAAATGCACACTCAAGACACCACCAACACAAACCTTTTCAATATATCAA